AGGATCTCACATCGCAGTCAGCTCAGCCTTCCCAGCTGACCAGAGTCAGAGGCTGTGAGCCTAATGTATCCAGGTCATCCTGGAAACCCAACTCTGATCTTCCTTATGGCCCTCGCATCATGGAGCAGTATGCTACTGCTGCATCACCACTGCGGGGCTTGTTATCAGATTTTGAATATCCAGCAACTCTTTTGATCTGGAGCCTTCTGATTTGAGAGATAAAATAACTTCTCTCTTTCTCGCTCTCTTTTTTTAAATTTGCTATAAGGTGCATACTCTTACTGGAGAGAGAGAAGGAGAGGGAGTGAGAAAAAAATCACCCCCAGGGGGATGGCTACACTGCAATCCCTTCTCTTCCATTCTTCTCTTGGGATTTTGGGCACACGTACACCTGGTGTGTTTTTCAAGCCTCCAGGTCCAGGACTGGAACTGTCCAGTTGTCTATGTGGGATCTAGCCCCCTCAGCCAACTCACCAAATAATCAAATAACTGGCTGGCCCAAAATAACTTTTCTTATGTCTCTGAGAACATGAATTATAAGAAGTTTAGGACCAGCAGATGGCATAATGGTTATGTTGCTGGACTCCCATGTAGTCGACTGCAGTTTGAGTCCCAGACCCAGCGGCTTAAACTCATGTCAGGCAAGTGTGCCCAAAATTCCAAGAGGAGAATGGAGGAGAAGGGATTACAGCGTGGCCATCCCCCCAGAGGGCTATTTCTGTCTGTCTCTCTAGTGAGCACACGTGCCCCATATAAAAAAAAAATCTCTAAAAAAAACTTTATTCTACTTCTGATGTTATCTCTACATTTATAAGAATCCTAGAATTGACTTCTCACAACCCTCCATACTCAGGCCTGTCTCTTGTGCCTTGTCACGCCACCCTATACTCCTGGTGGAACTTTCCTTAGCATTCTGTGCCTCTTGTAGGTGGACTGGAACTGCTTCTAGAGACATCACCAGTTGCTACATTGTGTCTTTTAAGCCTTGCATCTCCTCTGTCACTAGAAAGACGTCTCCTATGAGGAAAGAGCCTGTGAAGGAGGCAAGTTTGCCACCGTGGAAGTGACAGATAAGCCTGTGGATGAGGCTCTGCGCGAAGCAATGCCCAAGGTCGTGAAGTACGTGGGGGGCACCAATGACAAAGGTAGGTATCCCCGAAGGACACAGCTGGGGTCTCAGAAGCAAGTTTTTCATTAGTGGAAAACACAGGGAGAGGGCAACAAGGCACTAGTAACTGCCTCTTTCAGTGACACACAACTTCCTGTGCTGCATCGACATGTTCATGGCAGGGCACTCTAGGAAGGTCACCTGATGCCAGCCCAGCCTACCCCTTGCTTTGAGGGTCTCTGCTCATTAGCACCAAGCTCATGCTTCTCTTCCAGGTATAGAGCTATATACTTCCTTTTTTTTTTTTTTTTTTTTTTTTTTTTTGAACACTTTTTCCCCCCCAGAAAGTGAGAAATCACCCCCCAGATAGGATGGCCACGCTGCAATCCCTTCTCCTCTCAGAATCTTGGGCACATGCATACAGTGTGAGTTTTTAAGCCGCCAGGTCCGGGATTCAAACCACAGTTGACTGTGTGGGAGCCCAGCAACAAACATAGTCATTATGCCATCTGCTGGTCCATATATATATATATACTCTTTTTTTCAAGTTATTCATTTATCTCTTCCATGAGAGAGAGATAGGCACACACATCCCCAATGGGGTCTTCCTGCTACAGTTCACCCCAATCTTAGCCAGTCCTGGTCATGACTCAGGGATGTCTCAGGACACAAGCCTAGTACCTTTCCCATATGGGTCTGATTGCATTACCACTGGACTGCTGCCTGGTCCCTTTTTCTTTTTGTTTTCTTTCTTTTGTTTGTTGGCTCTACAATACCTATGGCGTCTTTGGACTGGTTGACTGCATGATGTATACCCATCGTAAGCCAAGCCACAGTGCAGGGCAGGCTGGTAGCTGATGTGAGACTTCCATCACTAGGGCTGAACCCCCAAGTCAGCCCTGGTAGCGGAGACTGCTGGGTGCTGAGGCTCTGAGCGGAGCGGAGCAGGGTCCCAGCTCTGTCCTGGCGAATGAACTGAGAGTTCTTAGGCTGTCCCACTCTCAAGGTTTGGCAATCCATGCTTGCTGCCTCTCTGTTTTTAAAATAATAACCCTGAAGCTTCATGTAAGTGTACCTTTGGCATGTAAACCATGTTTAAATACGAGTTTGTGTCTCAAGAAGCTCTCTAATTTGGACACTTAAAATGGGTCAGAGAGCAAGGTGAAAAAAGACACGTTGTGTATAATTTTTAGGGCATTCCCCAAGCTGATCATTTAGTAAGCGCCCAAGATCCAGGGAGCTGGAGGGCTGGAGGGAGGGGATCACCATGGGAACAGGCCTCGAGGAGGGTGCTCCTCTGTCTCTCGTGCATGCACGCAATGAATAAAGAGCAGAAAATGTTGCCTTGGAGGAAGAACGAGACTAGTGTGTCTCCCATGGAGCAAGCTCTGTCTCTAATGCCTCCTTCCGCTGTGTTTTTAACTTTTCAGGAATTGGGATGGGGATGACAGTCCCTATCTCCTTTGCGGTGTTCCCCAGTGAGGACGGCTCCCTACAGAAGAAACTCAAAGTTTGGTTCCGGATCCCAAACCAATTTCAAAGCAACCCTCCGATTCCCAGTGACGAAAGCGTCAAGATTGAGGAGCGGGAGAGCATCACCGTCTATTCCCTGTAAGGACGCCATTCCGTAAGAAGCCAGGGGGGTGGCGCTGGATCCCCAGGATCACTCCCTGAACCATCTCCAGGGGGCATTTGCGCTGGACTTTGACTGCTGCTGAATCCATTTAAGTAGCAAGTCCTGCATCCTGACAATCTCTCGTTCCAGTTTCTTCAGGCCGCAGCACACAAGCATTTGCATTTTATCTGAGTAAAGGCCTTGCCCTGTGGCCACACCAACAGGTGGCAAGAGTATCCCCACAGCTGAGGCCTAGATGAAAATAGCAGGACTCCGGGAGACTCAGAGAATAGTTCATTTAGAAAGTGCCAAGGGCATGCTGTGGTCTGGGAGCAGAGAGGGCTGGGGAATACCGCATTTCTACCCCACGTTCCCTGGCATGCAAGAGCTGGTGTCGTCGCCTTAGCTGCTCCTGATCTGTGGTCTCCTGGGCAGAGCACACATCCTCCTGCCATTCTGGTCCTGTTGCCTTGACTGTACAGAGTAGCAGGTGGGTGGCCCAGCTGCCACGGCACAGCGGCAACACAAGGGCCTTGCAATGCTGGAAGTGACGTGGCCGACAGTGGGTTTAGATCCCCAGGCCAGCTCAAAAAGGGCACATGTGTGGGCACCCAGGACCCTAAGGAGTTGGAGGACTGAGGAGCAGGGATCATGCATGACGATATGCTGTGGAGTCTCTCTTTCATAAATTTCAATATTAATTCGCTAATGTTGTAACAATATAAAATAGCCTGTTGGTTCACTTTTCTCCCACTAGCTTAACATTTACTTTATAGTTTATTTGAACCTGGATCCAAGTCAAGTCCATCTGTTGCTACTGGGTTTTTTTGTTTGTTTTTGTTTGTTGGTTGGTTTGTTTGTTTTTCTAAGTTGCTAGAGTGCACATGCACTCACGGAAGAGAGGCGGAGTGGGGGGTTGAGAAAACGCCCTCCAGGGGGATGGCCATGCCATAATCCATTCTCCTCTCGGGATTCTGGGCGCGCACACACACACACACACACACACACACACACACACACACACAACCCTGGTGTGTTTCTCAAGCCGCCAGATCCAAGACCTGAACCAGGCAGTCGGCCATGTGGGGTCCAGCCTCCCTAACCATCGTACTACCAGCTGGTCTGGTCAGCATATTTTTAAGCTTTTATAATCTGTAACTTCTTCAGAGCATCACTTTAATTTTTATGTTATTTTTCCTTGCAGTTTAATGGATGGATCCTTTGTCCTATTTCTTTCCACAATCTAGATTTTACTGATTGCATTTTTCTGGCTTTTTTTTTTTTTTAATTGCCAGAGGGCACATGCACTCACCAGAAGGAGACAGAGAGAAGGCAAAAGCACCCCCTCAATGGGATACGGTCATGCCACCAAGGCTTCTCTCTTTCTCCGCTCTGCCAGGATTTGGGGCCCGTGTGCACATGTACCTGGGACTGGGACTCAAACTGTGGGTCAGCCATGTGAGATCAGCTCCCCCAATCACCAGGCCCCTGTGGATTTTTTTTTTTTTTAAATAATGGTACGATTGAACATGAGAGAGAGGAAGGGAACAGTGCAGCCTCAACAGGGTCTTCCCACTCTGGAATTCCCTTTCCCAGCCCTCAGGCTTTCAGGACTGTCTTCGCACTGACCCAGGGACTTGAAACTGGTCAGCCACGTAGCTTTCAGCACTGCAGTTCAGTCCGTGACGGACTACACTCCCAGGCTCAGCCTCTGTGGTATTTTAATATGTTCCTCTGCTCCCCTATATTGCCCATAAATTAGTGTTTTGGTCTAAAGGCATGGTCAGATCAGGGTTTCTGAGTTGAGGCAAGAATATTTCCACAGTGGTGGATACGTCGTCCAGGGGCTCATAACGAACATCTGGTCTCCTCTGTTTTGGGGTTGTTAGTGCCATAGCTCACATGGCCCAGACGCCTCGTTCCTCTGGATAGTGCAGAATGATGACGGTCTCTACCTTTCCTTCTTCACGTAGCAGCTGGAATGCTTTAATAACGAGAAACTCTGCCTCATCTAGTATTTGGTTTCCCCAAGGTAGAGTCCGATAGAAAAGGCAAGATAGGAGCTTGATATCTTTGCTTTGTTTTCCAGCCTTCAGAATATGGCATTCCTTCACATCCTCCAGGGGCAAAGTGGTCTGCATCTTTGTTTTATGAATATAATTACAAACATATGAGTTTAAACACATTTGGTACATTTCCATTCTTTAGAGTTAGAATTTTTGTTTTGTTTTGTTTTTTATTGTCGCTGTTTTTGCCATGAGGCGCAGCTTTGGCTGTAGAGAAACAGAGAGACAGTGAGAGGGAAGGTGAGAAATCACCCCCCAGGGGCGATGGCCACGCCACAGTTCCTTCTCCTTCATTCTCCTGGGATTTGGGGCATGCATACACATGTGCCCGGCGTGAGTTTCAAGCCACTAGGTCCAGGATTCGAATTGCAGTTGGCCACGTGGGAGTCCAGCGCCTTAACTGTCATGCTACCTGCCGGCCCCTGGAGTTAGGATTCTTACTGTTGCTCAAATTATACTGCTTTGGGCTCCTGGGAGCCTCTTCATGTTGGTTTCTCAGTCTTTTCAGTGCAACCCTGACAGCCTTTGCAGCTTCCTGGCTTTCTGGTACGAGAACCTGTTTCAACCCGTCTTCACATTCCTTGCTCTGGAGCTGTAATTAGCCATTTCTCTGAGGAACCCTGGTTCCCTGTGGTGTCAGAGGCTGCCCCTTTAAAGAGTACTGTCCAAGCCAGGTGGAGGTTTGTGCCAGTGTCCTTTTAACTCCTGAAATCTGAACAGATAGAAGCATCGGAATATGGCGAATATGAATATATGGCTAAGTGCCTATTTTAAACTTAATATCCACAGGGTCTTCAAAAGTTCGTGGAAAATGCATATTCTGACAAAACTAGGCATGGGTTTTTGGTTTGTTTGCCTTTTTTTTTTTTTTTTTTGCCCCAAAATGAAGTCATATTTCCATTCTATTTTTCCACACATAGACAGTAGCTCTTAGACATGATCATTCCTCCACTAGCCACTGGGTGTCACTGCGCGGTCAGATGTGCATTTAAAAGTCCCCTGCAGTAATCGGTGTTTCCGATTCTGTTGAAAGCGGTATTAATGAGATGGTAGAAGGCAAAAATACTATTTCAAACAGAAAAATACTGTTTCAAATAATGCAGTGAGCACATCACATGAGAAAATTAATCCTGAAATGAAAGCCTTGCATTCTTAATTCAGCCTCCCTTTTTCATGACCTTGCGAAGGGATGTCCACAAAGAGATTGTACGCCTAGTAGCAGTGTTAATTATTAGGGCTTTTTAGATGAATACAGTGCTGTGGGGAAAAGTAGCTCTATCAGAATAGCTTAGAATTCACAAGAGATAATAAAGTTATCCCCATACTTAGACCATTGGTGATGTTTCAGGCTACCGTACTTCCCCTGTGATCCATAAAGGCCTCTTAGGTAAGAGCTCAACTTCCAATTCTAGGTTCTCAACAGAGATCAACAGCGTTTGGATAGTTTCTTGGGTTTTCTTAAGAATCAAAAATAATTGTTTAATTTTGTTATTATTATTATTATTAATTTCCTATAGGACACCTGTGCTCACCAGAGAGAGATGGAGAGGGAGAGAAGGAGGTTGTAAAACAAGCCACTAGGTCTAGGACTCAAACTATGGTCGGCTATGTGGGAGTCCAGCACCTTAACCATTACACCACCTGCTCACCCCATGCTTTGATAGTTTTAATGAAATGTTCACAGGAGTTTTTTCTGTTTCTATTTGTACATGCGTTTGCCAGAGAGACGGCGGGGAGGGAGAAAGCACCTCCCAGGGGGAATGACCACTCCATAGTCCCTTGTCCTCCATTCTCCTCGGGATTTTGGGCACGCACACACAGGTGCTCTGCATGTTTTCCAAGCCACTGGGTCCAGTATTCAAAGCATTTTGTCAGCCATGTGGGATCCAGCCCATTAACTACCATGCCACCCACTGGCCCAAATTTTCACGCTTTTGATGAAATGTCTGAGTATAAAGGAAGGAGTCAGAATCAGAAACCTGGAGTTCATCGTCGGAGTGGCCTGTGCTACAATCCCAGCTCACTGATTGTCTATAGGATAGCTTGTGTGCTACTGAGCCCTGGTGTGCCTCAGTTCCCGCAGCATCCAACGAGGGTTTCATGATGCTGGCAGGGTTTTTATGAAGATGCACTTCCATAATATCTGTAACTGCCTTCACAATGTTAGACAAGGGGGAGCTGCTTAGTGATGTTAGCCTAGTCTTCTCGTCCTGACTTTACCCCCTCTGAGAATTAGATACAGTTTTATTGGATTAGAATTCACAGCAAAGTCACAGTTACTACAGAAACACTTGGGTCTGAACTTCAATGCCAATAGTTTAATAGCTTTGGGCAAGTTGATCTTTTTGAGCTGCGGTTTTCTCATCTAGAAAATGGGACTCGCAGGCTCGTTGTGGGGGCCAGCCAAGGTGTGTCTGTGGAAGAACTTGGTCAGCTGTAGGCACTTGGGGTCACCGGTGCTACTTCTCTCCCTAAACAAATCACCCAGCCCTAACGGAGACTGCTAGCACTTGGGAAACTCAGGAAGGGAAGTTTGAAAGGAAGAGCCTAGTTGCTAAGCTCCTAGAGGGTGCCCATGTTACCACTTAGGGCTACAGACTGCTGTTGGCCCAAAATCCTAGATAATTCCATGCTCCTTTGTAACCACATGAAATCTGGGCCAAGGGTCTTCAGTCGTACTCAGCACCCACGTGTGCCCCCCACTTCAATTAGAGGGGACCTTCCTTGCCCGACCATTCTATTGGGAATGTCGCCCTACCCTTTCTTGTCCTCTTACCCTGCTTTATGCTGTTCACATCACCTCCCATCACTTGCAATATACAGCTTTCTGTTCACTTCCCTGTTGCCCTCTCTCCCACTAGAATGCAAGCTTCCTGAAGGCAAGGCCTTAGCTAGACGCTAACGGGTGCTCAGTCTAAAGCTGGCGAATG